GCACCACTCAGCTTGGTGTCATCTGCAAACTTGCTGAGGGTGCACTCGATCCCACTGTCGATGTCATTGATGAAGATACTATTTTTATAAGGTATTATTTTTATAAGCAACTTTTCCCTCCCATGCCCTGCTCTTTTCCCCTGTAAAAAAAAAAAAATAATCACCCAGTACAAAGAACTAGCTACTGCAAACGATAATAAAAAATTCACTCTTTCTCCACCCACCCCCCAAAAAAATATAAAACATGTCTTCCTGTTTGCTTTCCTTGTACAGGCAGAGATACTGATGCAATCTCTCCTCTCTGAAAAAGGAAATGCCTCTATCTCAGTCTGCATCTTTATCTCCCTCAGCAGCTTGACTAAGCAGATTAAAAGAAAAGAAGCAGCATTAAAGCCATAACAAAAAACAACTACTGCCAGTTCAACGGGAAAGGGAAGTAGAGTCTGCTGCAACTGTTTAGAAATTAAAATAGGCTGGAAGAAAGCCAACACGCCAGGTACGCTGTAGGTAGGTATGCAAAGGATCCAGCACCGTCCCCAACCTGTTGTCTGTCTCCCTGGGCTCTGTGGGGAGACTGAGAGATGACAGCTTCTCCATAGCACCCTGTCACCCCCACTTCATTCCTTCCCCCTTGCCTTCCCCACCCCAAAAAAAGAACAACTGCTGGCTGTTCCATCACACCTACTGACAAGGTGAATCTGAAACTTGGCAACTGCCAGCCCTTGACAAAGTGCAATAAATCAAAGCAGGAACCCACTATTTGTATTTGGGGATGAAAGGAAACTATTCAGCCAATTAAAATATTCTACAAAAAAGAGCAAGCAAGGAAGGAAAAGTACAGTGGTTTTATCACACTGAGGAAGTATATTTTTAAATGAAAAAGAGTCAGTATTAATTTTTTCATACATAACATTTTGAAACCGTATTTGTATAAACTACTATTCTCATCTATTACTACACAGAACTAGACAAGCAGTTAAAGAAGAAAAAGTACAACATTTCTTGATACTTCTCTTGCTAGCCAGCCACCCTGATCATTTGGGAGATGTTCAACTCTGCCTGCAAAATAACCAATAAGGTACTGCACAAAAGGATAAAAATATTTTGTTGCTCATGTTGGTTATTTGTCACAAAAGGAGAATAAGTATAGAAGACTTATAAAAGAAAAAAAAAAAGATGACGTTATGGAAAAACCACAAAAGAGAAGTGTGCTGCATTATGGTGAGCAGTTCTTGTAAAAGGAAGACAAAAACAATGCTCCAAAATTTATGTTCTCTGGCTTGTTTCCTCCAGAGCAGATGTGGGGACCCAGAACTTCACATCAACAACGAAACAGATGAGTAGCAATAGCTCCTGTTAGAAATTCACTGAGTACACACTGAAAAATGGTGGAAAAGAACTGATCAACCAATGGGGTATATCATAAATTTGCTTATCACGTAAATACTACCCATAATTTGTCACATACAATTATTATATCTAACTATTTTCTCAAATTTCTTCAAACAAGGCGGTCTAGGAAAATTATGATGGTTCCCTGCAGCCTACAAACCTAAACATGGTTCCCAGTCAAAGGCCACAGCAACCACTTCAAAAATGATCACCAGTTTGTGCGTCAGCTGTAGCAGGTGAATATTTAGGAGGTGCTGAATGGATACTCACAGGTGTGCTGAAGTCAACCATACATCTCAATAACAACTTAAATATCACAGGCCTCATTTGAAAATATAGCTTATCTATGAGTATTGGCTAAAACACTTAACTGACTTGTAAGGACACACACAGAGAAAGCCATGGTAAGGACTTCAGCTTCATAAAGGTTATTTTTAGCTTTGTAATTCAGAAGAAGTACTGTATAAGTACAAAGAAGTCAGACTTAAGGTAGCAGTAAACCAGACTATTGGGGGAAGTTTACATTGCTGCAACCTTAGCCAATGGTTTGAATGATACTTTAAAAAAAAAAAAAAAAAAGGAAATCAGGAAGAGGTTTAGCACTTGGGGTATCAACTGCTCGAGCTGCTACACTGAGCTCCCAACAACACAACTCCGCAGTGATATGATCTTTCTAACCTTTTCTGCAGCAACTCCAGCATTGCCTAAAAATATTTTGTACCAGGGTTTGCAATAGTGTGCTTCCAGCTGCACTTGTAATAGTTATCTTTGTGCAATCTGCCAGATGAATCCACTCGCAGTCTCCCTAATGCAGAACACATCTTTCACATGACATGAAACGATTCAGGACACGTGAGAATTTCATCCACGACACAAGGTGGACACAGAAACTCAGTTAATTCCTTGCTTTGCAGTGTCTATATATGCATTTTTTTTACACTGAACCCTCCAAGTTTGAGGCTAGAAAGACTGCTGGAAGTTACTGAGCACACATTATTAAGTTTACAGGAACCCAGTGCATTAACTTTACAAGTAATTTTATAACAATACAACTGCACTGCAAACCACCCTCACAGGCACTGTAAACAATGGAAGTGTTTTACAGGGGAATAGAAGGTGGGAAGCACTCAGAATATCTGCTAGCCTGGTGGGGCCAACTTCAAGGCTTTTATAAGCTTCACTGTATTTCATGACTTTCTCAAAATCTTAACTCTTGGGAAACTGTGAAAATCTCAGCTTGTTTTTGAAGCTAGGTTTAGTTTCAGAAACACTCAGCACAAACCATTTCTGCCAACAAACGAAGCAGTCCTGCCTTCTCACCCCACTCAGTGGCTCATTCCTGCCTCCATGTCTCCCTCCCTTTCTGCAGGTACAAGCCCTGAAGTGAATCACATTTAGGAACAGATCCATTTTAGCTTTTAGCCATGCTGAATCTACCTGCATTCGTGCACAAATCCAGTTTACCTGGAGCTGCACAAACGTTCGCCCCAGCACAAAGGGATGCAGAGGCTATAAACCACATCTGCTTCTTTCAGCAGCTGTACCAGCTTAAAAATGATTCATGAAATTATGGCCTGTATCTCCAGATCGAGAAAAGTTTCAGAACGTCTCCCCATTTCACCCTAAAGGCAAATACCATTTGGAAGACAATTAGTTCTTCCCCTCCTCAATTTTACTGAGACATGACTCCAGATATTTCAGCACAAGGCTTAACATACTGGGAACTGCACTGGTTCCAGGTGCTTCAGCAGTACAAACAATACTAACTGGGGCAAAGAGCCTGGTCTCCCGTACCCAAAGCAGGCTACAGGGGATTTGCTCTCAGCTTCACCAGGAATTTGATTCAAACAGAAGAGAACTGAACTGAAGAATGCCCGGGGTACACAAGCGTATCAAAAACCCATCTTCGCACTTGGCATGTACCACATGTCAATCCACATTTACATTGCACCAACACTGGTCAGGCACTTCAGAACTTCTGTGTAAACATCAAATGCTGCAGCTCTCTGCCAAAGCAAACTTGCATAAAAATGCAATTTAATGTTTTGAGAGTTTTTGTAATAATTTAAAAAATCATACTAATGTGTGCAGCTCTTTGTCCCAGGTACCAGTTACCTACGTACACTGGTTGTGAGCATGATACTGTCTTCAAACCAACAGATCCATTCCACTAACTCAATAGCCGAGACCTATACTTCTGGATCCTGATGCAGAACAGACATGTGAAGCATCAGCACTCTCTCACCAATATGGAAATCATGTGTGGTAACTCTTATTTACTGTATAATATAGACAACAAGGAGAAAGCTGCATAGCGAGGCATTTTCACTTACGTGGTTTATATAGAGACTCTTGCGTTTTTCTCTCACTGCAAAAACACAAAATATGATAGAAATATTACATGACTATTTTTCCCGATTAAGCTTCTTATATACCATTTATAATAAAAAGAACAGGAGGCTATCTATGTGCAACATTATAATTGCTTTTGCACTAATCAAGTATAGTTATACATCAAACACAGAAGGAACATATATCTGTATGCATAAAGGCATTTATGCTCACTAGTGTGGTGATGGATTAAAATTCTCATCCATTTGGGTACTTCACCAGGCGTTGGTCCGCATGGGAAAGTTAATATGCAGTAAGCTACAGTCCAAGTTAGCAATGGATTAGCCATCCTTCAGCAGTTCTCTGTGTGGGTACTCCTGAGCCACCAGTGCCTTCGTGCAAGGTACCTTGCTGCAAAGTGGCCTATACTACCTTGCAGGTATGAAAGCACCTAAATAGCTATACCATGGAATTAGCAAATTCTCATCATAGCTTACTGTGCACTAACTCCCATAGAGCAGCCTTGAAACCATATGCATTACATCACTGCCTTCTATAATGATCAGGTGCAAGCCTGAAACTATTATTCATGTCAGATAGAACAATGAAAATATATTACTTTGGTGAGTATGAACCAGTCACCACAAGCAAGGGTTGCAAGTCAAAGCCACAATTAGCCAAGATATTCAGAAAGTAAACAGCAACAAGGGAGATAGATGTAGAGAGTCTTAATTGTCAGGCAAATGCTTATTACAGCTGATTAAATATACTCTATTTAATTTTTTTAAGCACTTTCCCAATTAACTCACCCCATAGAGAGCCTGTGGAGCTCTGTTCCAGTGAAAATACCACAGCATTTAGGATACAAGTCTGGAGGCAACTAACACATAAATCAAACTGCAGGATTAAAATAATAATGGTTTCATGCTGTAGGTGATTAAATGCACTTTGGTGCACCATGATTTAAAAGCTAAGCAACCCAATGCAGTTAGTAAATAAGGGTGTTCATAATGGTGGGATAGCCTGTCCATTCCCTGTTGGATGAGAAGCCGTTTGTGATTTTTTTATAAGCAAGCAATCTCACATAAACAAGGCTGTATGTGTGAATACTGTGAAATAATTGTGTTTAATGCAGACATAAAATGAAAAGAAAATAAGAAAAAACTTTTAAAAATCCTTACATAATTTTCCTCCCAGGGAGCAGAAAGGAGAATCACACATGACAGATGTTAGCCATGTCACTTAGCGCATGCTCAGATCCACAATTACGGACATTGTATAAGAAACAGAATTAAACAGGAACAGCAGGAAAATTCTGATCGTCTAGTAAATGGTTAAACTGCTTGAAATCCTGCTAAAACACTGCACTACACTTAAGTTCCACACACTGCATTTATCATCAGCAAGGGACATAAGTAATCTAAAGGGAAACAACAAAATGATGATAGATACTCACTTCTAAGAATAGCCAAAGTATTTGTCTAGTATTGCATATAGCAATGTACAGGCAGTAAACAATTCTGATAAGCAGCATGTAAACCTAATAGAGTACATAACTGAAAATTAACACCTATTAACTGCAAAATTTTGAACACAGTTAAGTATTTAACAGTGTTTTAATCACAAACAATTATACCACATACAAAGTTCTTATGGACAAAATCCTATAAAGACAGCCTGCACATACACTCCAAATTCCATTTTAATCACCTTTTTTCCCCTACCTTAGTTTTTCTATTCTGTATTTTCCCTTGTATCCATTATTCGATTCCCCATGAAAGTACAATCACCTATTTACCAAAGCAAGAATATCACTCACAGCTCATTCCCATTTGCTATTTCCAATCTCCAGAAGAATATATTAATGTATTTATACACACCCCTCACTTCTCCCTGCTCAAGCACTGCTTGTGCTGCACGTTCTTCTAAGCACCACGTTGACCTCCTTTCCCTTATTTTCCCCATATAACAGAAATTCAGTTAGCCTGGATTCTCCGGTGAGGGACTACAAGGCGGCAGCTGTGCTTTTGTGCTTCTGGCCCACTCTGCCACAGTGTAAGGCTCAACTCTTTCCAGAACATATGCCGACGGGGAATCGGGCATAGCAGAAACCCATTTTGTCACAACCACTCTCTTTTGTGATCACAACCCTCCCTTTAAACAAGGGAAAGACAATTATTGCACAAGGCAAAAGGCCACTTCTGCCAAGCCAAAATTACTGTGAAGAGGCAATTCCATCACTTGGCTTCAGTCAGTTTAAAGATGCTTTGCACTGCTCACACAGCACAGTATGGTTTTCAGCAGACCAGACTGTAGTGTTATAATTAACTGTCATTTTGTAGCATAAACTCCTAACTGCAACACCAGGCTTTTGGCTTTCAAGCATGGGGTTTTGATGAAATGAAGCTGAACAGATTTAGAGTCAGTTTAAACAATTCAACAAACTTCTACTTTCTTTCTAACATTTTAGAACTTTAAAGTTGGAATGGAACTCTTCAAGCGGAGACTGAGATGCTGCCAAATTGTCTTAGTTTACCTCATTTTAAGGTCAATGACCTGTTCCTATTTCTGCAGGCACTTTCAATTGTTATTGTTGAACTTTCGCAGTAGCAGGAAAATATATTATCCTGAAATAAAAGGGAGTGAGGAAATACACAGACACACATATATGTACGTGTGTGTGTATATGTATGTATGTATTTTTCATTGAGCTGTAATAGAAACTTTCTTTGTGCAATTTCTATAGACTACCTTAATGTTACCCATATCAGGATTGAAGACAAAATCCTTGAGGATTACATCAATAAAAACATCTCGCATTTTGGGAGTTTGTAAATAATTTCTTTTTGTTTTATCCAAGACAGGAGACTGGTCCTAGTTAACATTAAAGAGTAAGTGCAGCTTACTTCACTTCTATCTACTATATAAATATAATTTCAAAATCCTCCTTGTCTGAAGCCCATTGTTGCACTGATACTGCAAAATTTAACCAGTACATTGAATGTGTAAAGCCTAATGTAAGTTAGGAAAGGTGGACAGCTGTAACCCACTCACAGGAAAGACCGTTACCACCACCCTGAAGTAGAAACCGTTGCCCTCTTGCTGTTATAAGGAAAGGAAGTTACATTATTGGAGTGCTAAGGTTTGGAAACCCTGGCTTAACCACAACCACACACTAAATAGTCCATGGCTTTTCAGTCACCTAGCCCATCCTGCTTACAGGCCAAACTCAGCAAACAAGGGAGAACTTGCAAAAAGCATTCATAGAAGTTAAAGACATAAAAGGTGATATTCTTTACTAGCTCCCTAAACAGGGAGAATTACTCATGTAAGATTCAGCACCTAGAAAATTCCCACAAAGAGTTGGAAACATTTAGAAAAGCTACTTTAGTTAGGAATCGAATTAATATTTATTGTGTCTTCAACTTTTCTACAGATTCATTGAACTCTCAGGTAATAAAGGATTCATTCAGACTACTGACTAAGAAGGACAGGACAGATTTAGATGCTTAGCATGGCATCCGAGCTTCAGAGAACAATGGGAAATTCAGACCACGTAATATCCAGAGATGCCACGTCCTGTCTCATTATATTTGGGGTCGTCAGCTTGTTGCTCTTCACTCACATGTTGATCACAAGCAGGTCAAGCTCAGCTCCTATGCCAGGACAGTACTACAAGATTACCAGTGAGGCTGAAAGAGTACAGGGCTACTAGAAAGCCAGCTGTGGAACTGCCTGAAGGTAACGTTGCCAAGTCACTCTAGTACGTACTTATGGACTTGGCCCTTTCCTGCTGTAGAAACACGTGGTGAACACTCAAGTCACAGCCAGATCCTGGATGAAACCTTGAGTCCTGATGTCCCTCAGCTCTCCAATATGTATATTTTAAATGTCTGCAGTTCTGGTCTATAGAAATATTTTCACCTGTAGTCAACAGGAAGGTTTGCCAGCCCAACGCCATACAAGTAAGGGAGAGAGGTAGTTACATGCCCAAGTTCGGCATTTTCAACATTGCCAGCTCAGCTCTCCCCCTTCTACATTAACATAAGAAGTCTTGGGGGTCCCCTAGGCTCCACAGCACACTGTCAGAATACAACCCTACACACCCTAAAAAAACCTTAACAAGCATTTTATTGCATTTTGGTGTTAGGCAACATCCTTGATTAGTGCGGTAACTCCTACAGCTCACAACGGGCCCAAAGTACAGCCGAGCAAAATGCTTACTACTGTGAGTTGTCCCACCAGAATGGGATGGTTCTTGTCAATACATCAACAGATAAATGTTTGCAGAATCTTTATTCTTTTGTACAAGCAAGATAGACTATGTATTTTTTCCACCGTGATCAAGGATAGCTGAACAGATCTTACACTCCTGTTGATAACATTTCTATATTGTTTCACTAAATTCATTGTTCTCACTCAAAAATATGTTCTACGTATGACTTAAACTAGAACAAAGTCTCATAGGCCAACTCTAGCATGGGTGTAAACTGTCATTTTAAAAAATGCTTACAATTAACTACATACTGTAATAAATTAACCACTATTACTACAAGTAAGAATAACCATCAGGTCTGGTCAAAATTGTAGTTGTTGAACTTGGGATTTTTTTTGTCCTTTTTTTCAACAAGCTGTAATGAGAAACATGTAGCATCCATATGGGATTATACAGTCTCAAAACACTATAAAACCACTATAAAATAGACATCAATCTTCATAATACAGTGTACAATGGCAATATTATCATATTCAATTTACAGACTACCAAACCAGATTAGAATGGTAAATCACATCGAAAACCACATAATAAGGCATTGACAGAACCAGGGTTGAATTCAGAAGGACAATCTGAAGGGCAAAAGAGGTACTCACAAAATCAACTCTTCAATTAGGGCCTAAATGTGTATCTCCTCTTTGTTCTAATCATGCTCAAAAATTAGCAAAAAATATACAGTAAGTGAAAACTACATTATTTTTAAGTGATGTGTTTGACACTGCAATTTACTATGTAAATTAAAAATGGCATTCATAGGCAGCAGAAAGAAGGACAAAGAATTCATACTGAACAGTCAGAATTACAATGTAGAAACTGCTTTGAAAGTCTTCGTAGAAAATAATGTGTTTTGCATGGATTATTCATCTACTTCTAAAACAACGTCATACATGTCCAACAGGGAATGAAAGAGCCAGAATAAATGGCTTCTATTCTACTAACTCTATCAAGAGGCTTGCTTAACAGATGTAATTCCAGAGGGATCATTTTGTCTATGAATAAAAAAAATACTCCAGACAAATATATGATTACATCAAATCCATAATGAGAGCAGAAGAGAGAATGTTTGGGTGGGATGGGGGCTGTTTTGTTATTCAAATCTAGTACTGAGCTCATTTACAGTATCAGCTATATCAGAGGAAAACTCTGGACTGTCTTCTTAGCTAATGTAAAAACTGGCATTTTCTCAAGAAAATACTCCCCACACATTTCCCAGAAGCTTGGCCTAATGTTCAGAGTTTAAAAAAACCAAACAGTTACACTCAAAATTTTGGATTTAGGGAAAATATTTTTAAAATATAATTATATCAAGCTTTATCCATATTTGTAGTTCTGATACAATGACTACTTGGAACTTACAATTTCAGGACATGACAGGACTCAAACCTGTACCTTCTACTACTGGTCTGACAACATAATTAACGAAAGGTATGACTTCTTTCAACTCTAACATGATGCCCATAAAAGCCTCTTTTTTTGCGACGGGAATTATATACTAAAAGATTATCACATGCATTCTAACAAAGGGTCCCCTAGGCTCCACAGCACACTGTCAGAATACAACCCTACACACCCTAAAAAAACCTTAACAAGCATTTTATTGCATTTTGGTGTTAGGCAACATCCTTGATTAGTGCGGTAACTCCTACAGCTCACAACGGGCCCAAAGTACAGCCGAGCAAAATGCTTACCACTGTGAGTTGTCCCACCAGAATGGGATGGTTCTTGTCAATACATCAACAGATAAATGTTTGCAGAATCTTTATTCTTTTGTACAAGCAAGATAGACTATGTATTTTTTCCACCGTGATCAAGGATAGCTGAACAGATCTTACACTCCTGTTGATAACATTTCTATATTGTTTCACTAAATTCATTGTTCTCACTCAAAAATATGTTCTACGTATGACTTAAACTAGAACAAAGTCTCATAGGCCAACTCTAGCATGGGTGTAAACTGTCATTTTAAAAAATGCTTACAATTAACTACATACTGTAATAAATTAACCACTATTACTACAAGTAAGAATAACCATCAGGTCTGGTCAAAATTGTAGTTGTTGAACTTGGGATTTTTTTTGTCCTTTTTTTCAACAAGCTGTAATGAGAAACATGTAGCATCCATATGGGATTATACAGTCTCAAAACACTATAAAACCACTATAAAATAGACATCAATCTTCATAATACAGTGTACAATGGCAATATTATCATATTCAATTTACAGACTACCAAACCAGATTAGAATGGTAAATCACATCGAAAACCACATAATAAGGCATTGACAGAACCAGGGTTGAATTCAGAAGGACAATCTGAAGGGCAAAAGAGGTACTCACAAAATCAACTCTTCAATTAGGGCCTAAATGTGTATCTCCTCTTTGTTCTAATCATGCTCAAAAATTAGCAAAAAATATACAGTAAGTGAAAACTACATTATTTTTAAGTGATGTGTTTGACACTGCAATTTACTATGTAAATTAAAAATGGCATTCATAGGCAGCAGAAAGAAGGACAAAGAATTCATACTGAACAGTCAGAATTACAATGTAGAAACTGCTTTGAAAGTCTTCGTAGAAAATAATGTGTTTTGCATGGATTATTCATCTACTTCTAAAACAACGTCATACATGTCCAACAGGGAATGAAAGAGCCAGAATAAATGGCTTCTATTCTACTAACTCTATCAAGAGGCTTGCTTAACAGATGTAATTCCAGAGGGATCATTTTGTCTATGAATAAAAAAAATACTCCAGACAAATATATGATTACATCAAATCCATAATGAGAGCAGAAGAGAGAATGTTTGGGTGGGATGGGGGCTGTTTTGTTATTCAAATCTAGTACTGAGCTCATTTACAGTATCAGCTATATCAGAGGAAAACTCTGGACTGTCTTCTTAGCTAATGTAAAAACTGGCATTTTCTCAAGAAAATACTCCCCACACATTTCCCAGAAGCTTGGCCTAATGTTCAGAGTTTAAAAAAAACAAACAGTTACACAGAAAATTTTGGATTTAGGGAAAATATTTTTAAAATATAATTATATCAAGCTTTATCCATATTTGTAGTTCTGATACAATGACTACTTGGAACTTACAATTTCAACACATGACAGGACTCAAACCTGTACCTTCTACTACTGGTCTGACAACATAATTAACGAAAGGTGACTTCTTTATACTAAAAGATTATCACATGCATTCTAACAAAGGGTTTAGAGATAACCGCAATAGCAAATACTGTAATAAATTCAGTAACCTACCATCTGTTTGTGATTTACTGAGAAATATCGTACTGGCCCGTGGATGATCTGATGGGTTGAATTCCATGTTCAAATCTAGAAAGAATAGCACAAAAACATTTATGATTATCCAATGGTATACAAAGATTTTCTCATTCTTTTTAACAAGACCAAGTTTACATACTTAAGCAGCTATTGCAAAACAAAATCCATCTTGAGGCCCACTTTTTTATCCTTCTTCACACAAGTGGCTCTTTTTGGCATGCAGATCATTTGCATCAACACAGCTTTGGGATTAGACTTCGATTCTAACGGCTGCTTTTGGATTAAAACAGATGAAGCAGCTTGAGAAGTTTGTACACAAGAAGTCAGGAATTATCCATTTACCATCAGTTTCTTCCCACCATGCCCCAAAGCCATTGCTAAGCACAGGAACACAGCTTGTTACATGTAATTACAGAAGAATTAAGTATTATAAAACAAATACGCAATCCTCTGTAGATAGATGGTTTCCAAGATTAGATGTGATTAAAGTAAGTAGTTATTGCAGCTGAATGTAAATAAGCTAAGTCTAGGCCAGAGTGTTTTAAATGGTCAAGATTACAAAAACTTGGAACTTTCCTGATACTTCACAGATGAACATATTCCTTGCTGTGACAACTTCTAAAAAAAAAAAAACCAAAACAAAACAACCAAAAACCCAAACAAAAAAACCCAAAGCAGTCCTAAAAAATATTTACCAGGTTAAAGACTTGAATTTATCACAGCTTATACAAACTTCTATGAATGTTATTTTCCCTATCGAGGTTAAAATCCATTGAATTTACTTGTTCCCAAATTCCACTCCACTACCAATTTGTCAAAACTCTTATATGCCTGCATCCACTTGAAAGCATGCTACTAAAAATAGCACATCATTTTTTATCATTTTCTTGCTCTCCCAGTGTGGCTATCTCAACCTTAGTTCTCTTACATTCTCTTGATCTCTAGATACACGTTCTCTTGCATTTGATGCAGGCATTTATGCAAGTCTACATATGAGCACTGATACGTTTATTTTCTGTGATTATTCCAGGCTTTCTACATTTCTCTCACTCCCTTTTCATATCTCTGTGAAAGCTCAGCAAAACTGGAAATTAAGCCCCAAGTCTTATGAAAACAAAACAAAGTCTTTTTGCCCAGGGGTCAAGTTGTCCTGTCTACAGCTTTCCCTGTTCCTTCACCATCCATCACCATACTCTCTTCTCCCTTTCCCTTTTATTTACTAATTTACTAGGTCTTCCACTTCCCTGCTTTTTCCTCCTGACTACACACCTCTCTACAAACATACTTTCTATTTGTATTTTTCCCCTTTATGCTCTCTTGCTTTCCTTTTCATCTCCCTGCATTCTGAAGCCCATGAGATGAGCAGCCCGACATGCTGCTCGTACCTGGACATAACTTCTGGAATAAACATGATCTTACTTACAAGGAAAAACCCAGAAACACAGAAGAGCAATTCCTCAGTTGGAAAGGGGGCTCATTATTATTATCAAACCCACAAAGGAAGAAAAAAAACCAAACACCTAAGAATTTCAAGGGAAAGTGATTTTGATTCTCCCAGAAACCACAGCTTGCAGCCAAGCTTGGAGAAGATTCTAGGAAGGTCATCTTACTACTAGAAGTTCTGACTTGAAAGGACTGTGAATTAGAAAGAATGTTTTCCTGTTACTTTCTGCATCTTATTTAGACATGAAGAAGAAAAAAAGAATCACCCATTGAGACAGATAGTGCTGGTGAAGATCGCTTTCCATTTCAGTATAGTTTTTCCATTAAGCGGAATTCAAGATGCAATTCATTAAGTAAAGAGTAATCAGCATCTTAAAATGACAAAATGTCTTTTATCATCCTCGTCATCTTTTATCAAACAGCACAATACATCACCATAAACAAAGCTTTTTTTTTTTTTTTTTTTTTTAAAAACAGCACAGACAATCTTTCTACAAATCTTTTGAAGTACAGGAATGCAAATTCAGTCAACAAAACAGGACCAGCAACATGAAACTGAACTCAACTTACAAAACACTGCCCCTAAACAGACATGCATTCCTTTCCTTCAGGCCCAGAAAATTATCTGCTCAGGGAGTAATAACAACCTGGTACAGGCTTCCAGTCTGCTTGCAGGGCCGAAAAGAAAGGAAAACCAATTGCCACATCTTGCAGTCAAGTTGCAACTATTTAAGATTCCTGTGTTATAAAAGGCTATTATGCAGAAGCAGTAAACCAACAGAGGACTTAAAAGTCTTTCTGAAAAAAAGCATGAACTACCAAAAAGCACTGGCTCTCAGATAAACTTATTCTTCAGACAGGAGCTAAAAGAAAGCCAGCAAAATCCAGTATCAGCAGCTGCAGAGGCCAGACCAGGGATTTTGCACCATCTTGGGAGAGGCAGCTACCCACTGCCAGGCAGTGGCCATGTCTCCCTCCCACCACTGAACCCCCCTAAGCACTACACGTCCTCTTCTCTCCACATCCCTTCTCTCACATCCTCCCCAGCAACAGCAACCATCAAACACATCCATCTGTCTTTCTCAAACTGCTTGCACAAAAATCAGAGGAGGAGAACATGGGTATGGGGAGCAGCAAAGCCTGCCAGGGCAGGTTACCCAGCACAAGGTGGCCAGAAGAAAAGTGCTGCTGAGAGACACTGGCTCCCCACCTCCCTTTGAGGAACTGCATAGGCCTCGTGGGCTTGCAGGCAGAAGAAAGCGGTTTGGTGTGTACCTGCAACTCGATCATTCCCAGCTCCTCCAGGGAAAAGCATTAGGCAAATCCAAGCATCCCATAGGCCACCTGTGGGACCACACCACTCCATGCCACCACTGCTGGCATACAGGAGCATTAGAATGGATGAAGTTTCACAACATGTGAGTAAGATTTCAGTCTCTGGTTGATCTTAGATGTCTTAACTTATTGTATAACTTGAAAAAAAATGCCTTTTTGAATTTGACAACAAATTCTTACAAAGCTGTCATTAGAAACTGTGTTACAGGAGAAACAGATAAGTTATATATACATATCTGAAGCTAGTAACTTATCACCAAAGTATCATGAAAGACAGCCACAATATGAAAGGTTTACTGATTTTGTAATGGAATAGTCAAAGATAAAGAGAGATTTAAACTCACACAAGCAATACTCTACTATTCAAAAGAGAGGAAAACAAGAGCCAGAATTTCAGTTATTGAAATCTGCACAAAAATTTTCTCCATTGCTAGCAGCCTGCTCTGTGACTCATCGTAGCCTTACAAAGGAAAGATCTGAAGTTGGTACTTTTTCCAACAGTTACCCTGCACTCCAAAATCAGCTTTTAAAAAAAAGTCACTGTCCCGTAGACAGTCCAAATCAAAAATCTTTCACTGTAGATGTTCTTTCCAGTTAAATAGATGTGGAATATTTTCCTACGTCTTTTCATAGTTCAAAGATCGCATTTTCTTTTTTCAGTTCTAAAGGACTGTTAAGTCATGCAAAGTATAACTCCCATTCTGTAAACACCTAAACAGTGTGATGCCCCATGAAAATTTCAGGGGTTTTGTCTTCTCAGGATTAGGAACCAAAGGTGTGTGTCTACATATATGTGTATACATACACATGCATATACCTATATAGTTGTATATTTAAATCAAACCTAATTTTTGGTTAGCCAAAGCAAAGTCAGCCTCAGGTACACTTCAGCTAAGAGATCATGTGCCTAACAGAATTCACACAATTTTGGAGGATTTGGGCAAGACCATTCTTACAAATACATGCAAATATACTTAAGATTGCATTCTCTTCCTTGTTTAGCAGCATGTCAAAATAACAGTTATTACAATGGGCATTCTGATTTATAAAATCAAAATAAATTCACACTCTCTCCAAGAGAAAAAGGTAGATTTTGCATATAACTTAATTCGGTACATAACTGCGCTGAAGTTTAAGACAACCACTAGAAGACCACAATGAGATTCACCCTGGGCACTGTGAAAAGCTTAGTTCCTAAAGCCACAGTAGCTGCATTCAAATATGGCCATAAAAAGAAGCGAACTGTAGATCAGTTCGGTTTCAGACTTGGGCTAAAGCCCAGGCAAGATTTTAAATCTCAAAACAAGATCTTAAAAAGCATTACTGAGACCAAAAATACTGAATACAGCCTCAGTTTGCACTTTTTAGAAGGATAAGAATAAAGTTCAGATGAGTGTAGAAGAGAGCTACAAGAATGACTGGAGAACTGCAGAAAATGCCTTCAAATGAGAGTCTGAATTCAAACTGTTTAGCTGATGAAAAAGGAAAACTAGGAGGTGTCTGTAGTTCACACGTACCTTCACAGAGGGAGAAGAGTAAGTACTAAAAGCTGTCTCTAACCTAACACACCACGTAACAAAAACAGTGGAAAATGAAAGCAGAAACATCTTAATTATGAACTTGGATGAAAAAAAAAAAAGGGAGGATAATTAGGCACTGAAGGTCCACACCCAAGGAACTCAACTTATTTTGATGTTTTCCCTTTCTAGAAGATTGCTTCAGCCAAACATCTTTAGGCTTTAGTCCAGCATGAGTATTTAGGCTCAATTTAAGAATAACTACATGCAAGTTACTGGCTTATGATTCATATGCAGGTCAGAGCAGATGATCCCAGGGGCCTCTAGCCTAAGTTCTATAAAATCTTCAGAAATAGGAATATTTAAATTATCAAGCACAAAACCTCAGCAAATCCCAGTGGCACATCTGTAAACTTTCTAAAACCGCACCAAACTCTGCTGCAATTCTTCAGAAAGAGCTACGTTTTAAGACTTGTGGTCAGAATATATTATGCAAGATAGAAACAGAAAAGGATGAGACTAAATCTTTCATGGCAAAATTTTAACCAAAAAAAAAAAGTTTCTTCACCTCATGAGTCTATTGAGATAGAAACATGCACCACAAGAGGATGAGGGATGGGTGCTGTAGCAACTAACTTCTGAGCAACACATATCAAAGCTTCTGCCTTGACACAAACAGGAAAAACCCACAGTTGCTGCTTTTATAACAGTGCATGTGGGCTGCAGCAGAGGGAGCAGGTCTGAAAATGTG